TGTCATTTCCAGCACTTAGTTTAATGCTGGCTAGTCCATTGGTTTCATTTCCTTTCAATTTTTTTAGCAGTCTGATATAACCGTGTTTTGCTAGGCATTTCAGACTGCATTTAAGAGCCAGCCACACTGCTGTCGTCTGAAGTCACATGTCGGCTTGACCAGATGTGGACAACAGATTTCACTCCCTAAATGACAGATGGGTTGATGATCAAGATGAAAATATAAGAATGGCAGAAAGGACATGTATTTGGACATTGGACACAGGGCAGTGCGAGAGAGAGATAGAATGCACAGAAGCAAGAGAGTTTTGCCCTCTCCAATGCAAACACATTCTTCCTATAACGTGGCAACCAGAACTGCACCAAGTATTACCCCTGAGGCCTAACTAACATCTAATACACTTTCATCATAACGTCCCTGCCCTTGTATTCAATGCCTTGACTAAAAAAGGCAAGCATCCTATATTTCTCTTAACCACTCAATCCACCCACCCTGCTGGATCTGTGGATGTGCACAGCAAAAGGTCTCTCTGGTCCCTAGTACTTCCCAGGATACTACCACTCATTGTTAACTCCTGTGCCTTGTTTGTCCTGCCAAAATTCATTATGTCACACTTTTCAGGATTCATATGCCAATGTTCTGCCTATCTGACCAGCCCATCTCTGTTGTCCTACTATCTAACTGCAGTAAATAATAAATAGGTCTGTGTAAAATATAATGACAGAAACAACACCTCTGTTTTCCTTTAACTATTTTACTACTTAGCCATTAACAGGCCGAAATTTTCTGAAGGGTCCTGACCCAAAACGTCAACTTTCCTGCTCCTCTGATGCTGCCTGGCCTGCTGTGTTCCTTCAACTCCACACTGACTCCAGCATCTGCAATCTCTGACTTCCGCATCTGCAGATCTTACTGTCTCTGAACTACCCAGCTGCCTTGCAGAGGATGGGTGAATGCCAGGTGGTCTACTCTATGGCATCCTCCATGAGGATCAATTGGTGTAAATGTTCGTAACTTCTAGTCAGTCCGTGGCAGATGGACCCCTGCCAGAAGAGCTCTGCTGCCCTGTGGAGGAATTCTGGCCAGCGATCTGGCAAGAGTTGGAAACGAAGGTGACTGTTCAGCTAGGACACTGGACAGGACTGCTCTGAGTGTTGCCTTACAGGACGCAAGTGTCAGTCATAAACCAGCTAATCACTGTCATGTTGTGATACCAGCTGGTCACTTTGGTTCCTTTTTGGGATTTGTCATAAACATCCAGAAAAAGCTTGTCAAGTTTTTCTGGGACAAAAGGCAACACTGGGTCAAGCGCTGGTATGCCTCCACATCCAGGTTGCAACTTTCCACCTTCAGACCCAGCAATGATACCATTATGTTAAGCTTTCCCAAAGGTGGTGCACTTTGATGAAATACTTCTTCCAGGCATGCGGCTTCAACTATGACATGCAGTTCCTGTTTACATAGTGATCCCGCTCTCTGATCTTTTTCCGGGAATTGCCTGTCTTTTAGTTGGACCGGATCAAAGTTGGGGGCATAGTTGGCTCACACCAGAGCTCTTCCCCTACAGGAGTGGTGGCTCTCCAAAGGGAGCGGCTGCTCAGGAACAGGTTCTTTCCCTAGTGCGGGTTATGCTGACCAAGGGAGGAGAGAGCACAGGACACTGGCAAACCAGAGTCGAGACACGCTAGATGGTGGAGGAACAGTCTGGATGACACTGTTGCAGTTGGTCAAGAGGGCATTGGTCAGCAGCTGGTTCGCGATCAGAGCCATCCACAGACTTACAGACAAGGTGCTCAACCCTGACACCTCATGTTACGAGGTGGGGGTGGGGAGCGGGGGGGAAAAAAAAAAAATCGAGGTGGCTCAGACATGTGGTGGGCTTCCAGACGAACTGACCCCTTTCTTTCTGGAACTTGACATTGGCTTCGCATGATGGGCTTTCTGTCATGACACAATGCCCGACAATCTGAGCAGTCTCAAGGAAATCCTCCCAGTGTCCCTTCAAACATCATAGAGGTGTTATTTGTACAGGCTGATGCTGCACACACTCCACTGCTATGCCTTCACTCAGACATACCTTGGCGTGCCGTTTTGCCCTCTGGTAGCAAAGATCCCCAGTGGAGGGTCCTCTATTAAAGGGGTACTCCCTTTTTACATCAGGGATCTAGAGTGGAGAGTGCTGCACTCAGTGGTCCCGTGCAACTGTAGGCTGAGTAAATTCATGGGGTGCCAGACCATGTACACATTCTGTGATCTGGAGATGGTGGTTTTCCAAGCACATGTTGAGTGTGTCCATTTCCAGCCCCCTTTCAGTTTTTTGAAGGGGCTGCTGCTTAAATTTTGGTCGCGCTTCAGCTGCACACTCCTGATCTATAGGTACCCGGTGCAGAGAGGGGCAGATAAGTCTGAAGGCCTTCTCGTGGCTCTACTCCTGGGCCTGGCCAAGAAAGCTAATAACAGGTCCAGGCAGCAGAGGGGCTCGTCATTCCAGACTGTCTGCCCCTCTTTTGTGGTTATGTCTGTGCTCAGGTGTCCCTGGAGAGGATGCACATGGTGCTCACTGGCACAATTGAGGCCTTTCAAAACCGATGGGTACCGCAGGGGCTTGAGTGTATCATCAGCCTAAAAAATCATGTTTTAATTTAATAAGTTTCTGTTCTGTTGTATAAGTTTCCATTCAACTTTTTTTGAATTTGTGTTTTGGTTCTGCTATGGTGTCCCATCAGGGGCTGTTTTATTTTTCCCTATTATCATTTTGGACTCCCTGAAAGAACCAAGGGAACTTTTATTTTAAGCCCTATTGTCCCTGCTCAGAAATGATTCGTGGGGTCAGTGCGAGAGGAACTTCATTTTCAGTTTGAATGAGTAGAGAAAATTTTCCTCTGTATTTTAACCCCTTGTTGTCCCTGTCCTGGGAGGGGTTGAAGGAGGCGGAGCTGAGGGGACTTTTGTTTTTAGGCTACTTTGAGATCAAACGATTAGAGGAAAGTTCACTTTGTACTTGCCCTATCCCAAGAGTGTTTGATGGGGAAGGTGTGGAGGGGAATTTACATTCCATTTACTTCTAGGTTAAAGGAGTAGAGAGAGCTTAACTCTGTACCTATCCCCGTGCTGTACCTGTCCTGGGGGTGTTTGATGGAGACAGTGTGGAGGGAAATTTACTTTCATTTTAAAAGACCGAATAGTGCATTTTGAGTCAGTAGGCACGTGGTAAAAGTTTTCATGCACAAATATCACAACATTGTTCATTTAGCTCAAGAGTCTTAAAATGTTCTTTTTCAAACTAATATCTGATAAAGACAACTGCATAACATATTTCCAAAGTTCCGTGGTCCAACTACTGTAAGAGGAAGTGGTGAATTTAGGTACAATTACAACATTTAAAAGACATTTGGATAAGAACATGTATAGGACAGGTTTGGAGGGATTTGGGCCAGGAGCAGGCGGGTGGCACTAATTTAGTTTGGGATTATGTTCGGCATGGACTGGTTGGACCCAAGGGTCTGTTTTCGTGCTATTTGACTCTATGACTTCCAGTATTTTTTTTTTCCAGATCACACACACGTAAAAGAGCACAGATTCGCAATAAAGTAATACAAATTTTGAGATGGTGGTAACTAATAACACTGAGTTACTAAGTAGTAATATGGAAACTCTTAAGATTTTGGAGTGGATCTGTAGCTCGGGTTGTGGGCTCGCCGAGCTGTTTTGTTGTTCCGCAGACGTTTCGTTACCGAAGCTTCATCAGAGGTTGCCCTGAGGATGTCACCCAGCACAGTAACGAAACGTCTGCGGAACAACAAAACAGCTTGGTGAGCCCACCAACCTCAGTAATATGGAAAACTTTTTGCCATTGTACTTCAGTGTTAAAAGTTGCTCCACATCTCCAGGTTCACCATAAAAGTCATGCTGAGACACTCAACATGTAATTCTCAAAGGGACATGATTTTGCAGTAATTACACAACAGATGATGTCTCTGAACATGTCAAAACGCGTTTAAGCTGGTCTGTTCGTGTCTAAGTAAAATTTCATCACCGTGTTAAGTTTTACTTACTGCCAAACCTGGCACTGAAAATTAACATTAGTAAAAGTGTGGGGGTTAGTCATTTTCAGAGATTTAGGAAAAAAATGTTCGTGTTTCAATCACACATTTTATTCCATTTCTTTATTTCACTTTCTACGTAGATTTGGCATGAAATAAGACATTTAATGTCACTTTCAGCATGGGAACAAATTGAATAATCTGATTCACTCCAGTTCCAGATCCCCTGACTAGGGTCAAAAACAAACTGAGTGAGTTCTGAGGAAGGATCATTGGACCTGAAATGTTAACTCTGTTTTCTCCTTCACAGATGCTGCCAGACCTGCTGAGCTTTTCCAGCAACTTCTGTTTTTGTTCCTGATTTACAGCATCCGCAGTTCTTTCGGTTTTTATTGAGTATTTCCCGGAATAGGGTGTTGTTCTGTTTTGACTCTGAGAATGTTCTAGTGTAAAACTCGCCTGAAACTCTAGACAAGTATCGGCGAGCTGTTTATTCATCACCAACCACAAATTCTGCCCTTTCACTGATTTAACTTCCTTCCTGTTCTTTAAAAGTAAACCGAGGCAGTATCATTATAAACTGAAGATCGAGCAGCCCGACGACCAATAAAAACAGTTCTAAAACTAGGGAAAAGCTGAATTTAATCAGATAAGACAGGGAGTGGAATCGCTGCAGCTACTTATTGATAATAGACAGTTTGACGGTGATATACACGGGAGGTTAAAATTAATTTTGCCGGTTGTTTTGGGAATATAGCTCCCTGGGTCCCCCCACCCCAGGAGAGGTGTTGAGCGGAGTGTCCCAGGATGTTAAAGCCGCTGCGGCTCACCAGCGGCGCAGAGGTCCCGGGCCGGGCCGGGCCGGGCCGGGACAGGACAGCCGTTAGGCGGCAGCAATCCAGAACCTTCTGCGGCTCGAGCGCGGGAGCCGCCATGGCCCCTCACTAACTCACTCACCGCTGGTCCTGCTCTTCGAAGGGCTGGGCTTCTCCAACTGCATGTCGCCGCCGCTCTCTCTCTCTCTGTGTGTGTGTGTGTGTGTGTCCGGTAAGTGACTCTCCTCCTCCTCCTGTTCCTGAAGCCGCGGGTTTTCTCTCAGCTCCGTCACTCTCTCGGTGACGCCTCACGAGCAGCGCCTCGGGCATCAGCCGCTACCCAGAGGCTGGGAGCCGGCCAACCCTTCCACAGAGAACCGAACCCGAACCCAAGCCCTTCACACAGGCTTCCAATCCTCACAGGATCCTGAAATACAGGCTTCAAATCCTCACAGGATCCTGAAATACAGGCTTCCAATCCTCACAGGATCCTGAAATACAGGCTTCAAATCCTCACAGGATCCTGAAACACAAGCATCTCATACTCACAGGATCCTGAAATACAGGCATCTCATACTCTCAGGATCCTGA